TGGCTTATCTTATGCAGGTCTGGCCTATAGGGTCAGTGGTCATTGTATAAAAATTGTCCAAGCACCCTCAACAAACAAGAGCAGCACAGAGGGGTGGAACCCAGCCAGCAGGCTCAGCCCAAAGCCCTCCTTGTCCCCTCAGCCCACACCCTCTCCCTTTTCCCCATCTGGAAGAGCTTCTGGTGGAAGGCAGGGAAACCCCACATCCCCCCTCGCCTCCCAGCGGAAGTACTGCTGAGAAACTTGGAAATCTGGCAAAAACCACTTCAAGACATGGGTGAGGAGGGAGGGCTTCCCTCACCCATGGTCAACTTATCTACTTATCTACCTTTTGTTACAGACCAAGTGAAAATAGTAGGCAGAGAGGTCACCTGGCTTTGCTGGGTGTGTGTGTGTGTGGCTTGGAGCCTGTGCTGTGGTGGTTTCTCTGCAGTTGCATGTGCCTCAGACAGATGAGGGTCACATGGGAGAGAATCCTACAGGCAGATTCCCTCTTCCCCCATTAAACCTGAGCAGGGGTTTGCTCAGGCCATTCCCTATGCTTTCCACACAATGTCCTTGTTTTTATCTGATTGGAAATCCAAATGCTCCTCCCACTTCTCTCAGTAGCCAAACCCCCTCACAATCTACATAAAGGCCTTGCTCCCAAGACTGAGTGCAGAAGCTGACTTCCCTCTCTGGAGACCCAGGTAAGTGGTCTGAAGCGTGGCCTCAGGAGCATTCACTGTAAGCGGCTGGAGAAGAGGAACCTAAGGTGGCTGGCACTCTGAGAAAGCGTGGGCTCTCACCAACACCAAGAATGCTTCAGCCAGGGCACCATCTGCTGGCGCAGGGGGTAGGGGGCTGGGTAGGTACAGGCAAGTCCACAGGACTGCCGGGCTCCAGGGGAGCATCAGAACTGAAGGAAGCCAGGGTCTGTCTTTGAAACACAATAGAACCCTTTTATGGTGCCAGCGTCAGACACACACTGAGCTTTCTTTGTGCACTAAGGCAACAGGCTCTGTCACCCATCATCCTGGATGTCATGGTGATAACTCAAATTTGCCAAATTTGTCTCTTAGCTTGTTCAGAATAATCTTCTGATGAGCTGTTAGACCACTGGAAGAAATGTATTTTATTTTTGAAATGTATTTAGATGGAAGAAAATCCAGTTTTCAAATGAGGCACTGCCAGAATTTCAGATGACATTAAGTTACCACCTGGGGGTGGGGAGGTGATGTCTCTCTAACTAGTGGGGGCGCCATGCACTTGGAGAAGCATGTACATGAGGGTGTCACCACTTGCAAAACCTCTCTGGAAAAGACCTGTCTTTCTGGAAAAGGAGACTGCATTCTGAGAAGCAGCAGGTGGGAGCCAGAGTTCAGTGGCTCCAGGCTCACTCTTCTTTCCTTTTCCCCTTCGCATTTAGGCTCTCCCAGGACAGCAAGGTCACCATGACTCTGGAGAAGCCCTTTGTGCTGTTCCCACTGCTTGTCCTGGTGCTCTTAGGGCTAGGGTGGGTGCAACCTTCCCTGGGCAAAGAGTCCTCGGCTGAGAAGTTCCAGCGGCAGCACATGGACTCAAGTGGTTCCCCTAGCACCAACTCCAACTACTGCAATGAAATGATGAAGAAGAGGAGTATGACACAGGGACGTTGCAAGCCAGTGAACACATTCATCCATGAGCCCCTGGCAGAGGTGCAGGCTGTCTGCTCCCAGAAAAATGTGCCCTGCAAGAACGGGCAGACCAATTGCTACCAGAGCATCTCCAACATGCACATCACAGACTGCCGCCTGACAAGTAATTCCAAGTACCCCGACTGCTCATATCGCACCCGCCAGGAGGAGAAGAGCATCATCGTGGCCTGTGAGGGGAACCCGTATGTGCCGGTCCACTTCGATGCTTCCGTGGCAGCCTAAGCTAAAGCAGCAACACCCATCACACCGCTTGCCTTCAACTCAACACCTGCCTTTCTCCTCTTCTTTCCTTGTTCCCACAAAAATAACTGCAGTTGGGGCTCCTGTCCAACACACAGGGTTCACTGTTTCACATCCTGCTCCTGCATGGCTTCGGGGCTGAGGGGTGGGAGCTGCTGTGGGCCCATATTAACTCCTTCACTGCTTCTTTCAATAAAACATAGATGCAGTCATCAGATTGCTAGAGCATCCTACCCAGGAATGGTTTCTGAGGTTGCTTTCCAGCCAGGGGGAAGACATGTGAATCTAATTCTCTGGTGAACAGCAAATGGAGAATTTAAAAGCCTCCCCCTCTTTAGATGGGATGTCATGAGAAAATTCTCTTTCTTGTAGATTCTTTTCTGTATTGTTCAAAAATTTTAAATGTGTGCTGTTTTAGATAAAAGAAAGCTACAACTGGACACATAGTAGTGCTGGGTAAGCTGACAGGGGTGAAACTCACATGCCATAATTCTCTGGGCAGGCAGGAGAGCATGGGCACAGGAAAACCCTACAGCACTTCAGGGTGGGCAGGAGTCTATGAACCTGCACTCGTAAAGTCCCATTTTATTTTTTGCTGAGGGAGCTATTTCCACATCAGAAAATGACTCTTTGAAAGTCAGGGCCTTAAATTATAGAATTGAAAGACCTTCGAGGGTATGGAATTGAGGGATGCCAAGCAGATTTCAGCTTGGAGGTCGACCTCCCACGGACTAGGCACTGGGCCTTTGCAAAGTGCTCAGAACTGTCTCTGGCAGCCACTCTACGAGATAAATTACATAGCTCCGCTGCAAATCATCCCTTAAGTATGGATCTATTGTTTGTAGGTTTTAGTAAGTGTATATGGGAAAGTGTCCTCTCAGATTCCTTCCTTCATCCTCAAGGTTATATATATATATATATATATATATATATATATATATGTTATCTTTATAACATATAATAGATTATATATAATAGATTGTATCTTTTAGAGAAGTTTTATGTTCACAGGCTGATTAAGCCATGATCATCTTCATAGTCCATGAGTAGAAGTTGTTTGTATGCATGGGTTGAGACGCACGGCTTGCTGCTCTAGTGTGTGTGGTGGCGACACTGTTTTAAAGTTCATCATACTCTCACTTTATTTTCTAGTTTCTTTTTGCTACTTCTTTTTTTGTGGGACCAGGGATTGAACTCAGACTCCTGCGCTTGCCAGGGAAGCACTCACTCTATTGAGCCATCTCCCTGGCTCCCCTTTTTTCTACTTCTAAGCTGAGGGTCAGTTTCCTTCCCTTTGCCCTGAATCTGCCATGGCAGATATTTGGGCAGGGGCCCGTGGTTGAGTGCCAGCTCCCTGTGTCCCCTAGACAAGTCTATGTCCCTCTCTGAACCAGTTTCCTAATCCAGAGGAGAGGCTCAGTGGTCCCCAAGTCCCCTTACACTTGGGATTTTCCAGTTGTGTGCCCACCTGTTGGCTGGTGGGTAGTACTGCATACAGTTTTGACTTATGTATGATTAGGAATCTCTAAAAAAATCACACCTTGAGATTGGGACTAGTTTAGTCTCTTTAGAGGTCTAGATCATCTTAAGAGAGGTCACACACCTCGCCAGCACAGATTTTCCTTGAAGATCACTGTAGACAGTTTCTTGACAGTCGAAGCTGGCAGTTTTCCTCTGCCTGGGCTCACAGGTCTCCCCAGGCCCGACAGCTCATGGAAAGTTTTGCCTTGGCTCAGGATCCACAGCCGGGAGAGCCTGACCATTGCAATCAGGACAGCCGTGAGAAAACAGATGTGAGGTCAGGGAGTTTCTTGGCTTCATGGAAACCTGCTGGTGAAGGCATAGTGATGCTTCTTCACACTGCTGTCCAGCCGGGGAAACTTTCCTCCTCACCTCTGCTTCCTTGCCCACAAATCACTTGAAGAGAGAGCCCTGAGACATGGGGACATGAGACTGTGTGACACAGGGACAAATGTGTTTTCATGGGACATGACTCTGGGTGCACAGTACTAGAGATCTGTGGGCTTAAGGACCATCAGTCTAGGAATGGCCTCATGTCACCTGCCTACAAAGTACTCATCTTAGAGATCTAAAACCTAGGCATGAAACCAAGAATGGAATAAAGACAGCATGGTCTGGAGACAGGAGCGGTGGTGCATGCCTCTAATCCCAGCTACTCTGGTGGCTGAAACAGGATTGCAAATTTCAGGCCAGCCTCTTAATTTAGCAACACTGTCTTGGAATTTAAAATAAAACATTAATGCAGGCCTGAGCGTGTTTTGGGCATAATGACGTACACTATAACCATAGCAGCCAGAAGTCTAAAGCAGGAGGATCGTGAACTCAAAGCCACCTGGGCACTTTTTTCAGACTTGGTCTCAAATTAGAGAATCAAAAGGAATGAGGATGTATTTTAGCGATCTCCGAGTCTATCCCGAGCCTCCCAGCCCTAGCGTGCCCTTTGAGGAGGGGGGGAGTACTATCAACTGTGACTCAGGGGTCAGCATCATTTCCAAATAAATGTAGACAATGGCTTCAAGGAAATAAATGAAATCATGAAGAACATTCAAAGGGATGGAGGATTTCCTTGTAGTCCCAGGGATGCAGAGGCAAGTGGCTGAGCTCTCCGACAGACCTCCAGGGTGGCCTAGGGACCTAATAACAAAGTAGATCTCCTTAGACTACTGGAAGGTGATGATTAGAAAGGAGATAAAAATGATTAAACTCACTGGCAGACAGTAGGAAATAGCTTTATTGTTATGAATATAATGCATTAAACACTGGCAAGTGCCAAAGGCCAACATCCCTCTTAACTTCTTTCTGTACTTGCCTTTCCTCAACACAAATAGATCTCCAAGGCAAAGCAGATATAGAGATGATATAGATATAGATTAGATATAGGTGACATGGATATAGATATAGTTTTTAAGTCTAATCCAGTATCAAAGGTACGCTTATCTTCTCAGGGAAGCACTTATTCTACTGAGCCATCTCCCCGACCCCTAGATTCTTTTTCTTTGCAGAACCAGGGATTGAACTCAGGCCCTTGTGCTTGCCAGGGAACTCTTATCTTCTCAACATCTTCCTTCTTTATTCTGAGTGAGCAAGACATCAAATAAGAAAAGAAAAAGCACAAGAATTGTGGCAAAAGAAAGGAAACATAGGATAGGCATGGTATGCAGGTTCGCACTCTTATTTATACTCTTACAATCTTATCTAAGTGTACAAGGAACAATGGATAGGAATAGGGAGGGCTGTTCTTCCAAGGTAGACCACAGGCCACAATGGAGATTTTGAACTTCAAGTACCTCCAGTCACATCTTTGTACCTCCAGTAAGGATGTTCCCTTCTGGTGGGCCTGTAGTGGGTCAGCTTGACATGATTTGTATTCTGGTGATGACTTTTCTGACCATTCATGCAAGTGATGTTGGCCAATGTGCAGGAATGACCCACGTTTTGGAAAGAGTCCTGCAGAAAGGTGTTCATGTGCTTACATCCTGGTATGACTGTTGACATCACTGATTACCTCAGTCCATTGGATGCGAGTTGTCTGGATATGCTGAATGGCCAATCACTGAGCCAGCTGAGGCCCAGAGGCACAGTCCAAAGGGGGCACAGGAGCCCCAACAGCAATATGGGAGGAAATGTCACATCTTACCCCACCTTTTCTGTGTTAGGAAAGGGAAGATCATGGGGATAGTAGAAGCAATAAGAGCAAAATTATTAATTGAAACAATTTACATTTCTGTTTTGCCTTTAAATTTTTCATAAGTCTTTAAAAATTCTCTCACACAGTCTCACAATTCCAGCAAGAAGAGTGTGAGGTGAGCAGCCCTCCCCTGTGCCTGGCACACCCCATCTCCCCACGACCTATACCCCTGCATTTAATAACCCTCATGCCACAAACCTTGGTTTCTGCCTCTCCCCTCCTGAGATGCTGACCTTCACCTCTGACCACCTCCTCCAGCCATCTCCATTGCCCTGCTCATCCCAGACCAAAGTTCGCCCCTCTTAACAGTATCTGAGCTGGGTTCGGGGTGAGCTCAGAGCAGTGCTCAGTCCAGGGTCAGAGGATTCCTTCTGATTTCCTTCCCCCCAGCCCACCAGTGCTGCTGTGCTAGGCAGGAAAAGGGAGTGTTCTGAGCCCCAGGAAAGAAACCCTGTGTTTTACTGATTTGAACTTTTTCTGCAGTAAGGCTGAGAGTCTAGATCTTCTTAAATCTCTTTTTTTCCCCATAATTTTATTGAGAAACAAATAGCAATGAGACAGTTTCAAATCAAATTGGTAGGACAGTCTCAATAATAACACATTGCATACATTCTTCCGAGTGGTTAACTGCTGTACAAGATGCAGACATGATATCCTATTTACAAACACCATTAGAATAAATCCCTCTATTCATTAAGAGAATGCAACTATATATCTATCCTAACCACTTTGAATACACAGATACAAAATGGACGTTCATCTGTATCTCCTTTTTTTTGTTAAGTTCTGTTATTTGAATATTATAGGTGTGTAAACTCAGCAAAATATTCTAAAAGAGTGCAGTAGTCCATAATAGTATTGGGTCTTCCGCTTGACTGGCAATGTCAGAAATTGTTTGTTTTTTTGTTTTGTTTTGTTTTGTTTTTTTAATATGGAATGCTTCACGAATTTGCGTGTCATCCTTGCGCAAGGGCCATGCCAATCTTCTCTGTATCGTTCCAATTTGAGTATATGTGCTGCCGAAGCGAGCACTTAAATCTCTTTTTAAAACTCACATCATGATCACTACTTACAGAGGAAGAACTCTCATTTGCAGTTCAAGATGACCACTTCCTGATAAATGTTTAGGGCTTTCTTCTTGATTGACAGCTTCAGGTTTTTGATGTTCTATGATTTCAGTTTCTTAAGAGAAAATGGAAATGTGGCATAACAGCTGGTGCACATTTGGCGATGTTCTGAGTTCTAACAATAGATGAGTATGAACTATTCATTT